ACTATGATCCAGGTCTTCCTATTATAGTCGCAGCAGATGCGTCCAGCTACGGAATCGGCGCAGTGATCTGACATACCTACCCAGACGGGTCTGAGAAGGCACTCGCCCACGCTGCACGGTCGCTGACTATGACAGAAAGAAACTTGGCAGACAATTTACCTTACTAACAGACCATAAACCGCTGTTGACAATTTTTGGATAGAAAAAAGGTATACCTGTATATACACCAAACCATCTACAGAGATGGGCAACTACACTGCTGGGCTATGATTTCAAGATAAAGTACCAAACAACAACGGATTTTGGACAGGCAGATGCTTTTTCCAAGACTAATTAGTTCCCGTTCAAAACAAGAAGAGGAGGTGCTTGTGGCTGCCGTAGACGTTGAGGCCGAGGTTCACACAATATTAGCAGACGCAGTTTACGGACTTTCAGTCACATTCGAAGCTATTAAAGGAGCTAGTCAGAAAGATAACATGTTGAACTTTGTTCGCCGCTGCATACTCAACTAGTGGCCTTCGTCTAGACTGCATAGAGAACTCTTGCAATTTTTCCGTCGACGAGACTCATTGACAGTTGTAGATTCCCGCATCATATTTGGCCACCGTATCGTTATCTCCAGAAATCTTCGAAACCAAGCCCTTAAGCAGTTACACAGCAGACACCTGGGGATAAGCAAAATGAAGTCCTTAGCTCGAAGCTACGCATACTGGCCATCAATGAACCATGATATAGAGCAAAAGTGCCACAGTTGTTCGTCTTGTTTAGAGGCTGCAAAGAACCCAAATAAAGCTGAACCGCAACCATGGCCAAAACCAGACAGTCCCTGGCAACGAATACACGCTGATTTCGCCGGCTCAATACAAGGCAGAAATTATTTGGTTGTTGTCGACGCCTTCACGAAATGGCCAGAAGCACACGACATGCCGAAAATGACGTCAGAGAGTACTATAAGAAAATTGACAGATTTGTTCGCTTGTTCTGGGGTTCCCGAGATCTTAGTGACTGACAACGGCACCAAGTTCATGTCATCTGTTTTTAAACGGTTTTGCATTGAAAATGACATGTCACATCTACAGTCTCCCCCGTATCATCCTCAGTCGAATGGCCAAGCAGAAAGATTAGTGGATACTATAAAACGAGCTCTAGTCAAAGGGGGAGGATAGGCCATCCCAGAACAAGTAATCAGCAAGTTCCTTATGTCTTACAGAGTTACCCCCAATCCGGCAGTACCCGAAGGTAAGTCACCAGCCGAGTGTATTTTCGGAAGGAAAATTCGAACAGTCTTTAGTAGTATGTTGCCACCTAGAATGACAAGTAAACCCACGAATGGAAATCATATGGTCACTCGTAGCTTCAAGGTAGGTGAAAGGGTACTGGTTAAATCGTATCAAGGTGAAAGAAGGTGGGAACCAGGTATTAAAGAACGCCGAATCGTAAGTGTATTGTATCTAATCCATAGAAATGTCGGAACTTGTATAAGACACATCAATCAAATTCGAAGGGGTGGCAGAACATTGATGCCACAAAGCCGGCTCCCGTTTCATTTGCTCATGGATTCATCTCCAAAAAGCACTCAGGCGCGCGAAGGTAGAAAAGATAAAATACACAAGGGCTAAGCGACACAACCTTCGAGAGTAACGAGTCGCAGTAATCTTAATTTATGTGGTTGTAGCCTGCTTTCATCACTAGATCACCGAAATATAGTAGATTTTCCCACTAGTTCAATACCCATTCAGATTTATTTTTTCATTATTGATGTGTGAATATGTGTGACTCGTAAACATGCTCCAGTGTCTAGTTTTGGTCATTGTATAATTTGTTTTACCGAAAGTATGTGGCAAGGTAGGAAACAGTATACGCTTAAGTCAAACAGAGAAAATGAAGTACTGGAATTGCTGGAAAGAAAATATCCAAAGTCTGAATAAAATGTTTCGTACGGTAAATCAAGGATGACTAGCCGGAAAACACTAGTGATGTTACCATTTATTATCTTAAATTTTTTTTGATATTTGCTGTCCCACCGAAAAACTTTTTCTTAGTTTTCATCGATTTACATTTCTACAGCTTAGATGATTATAAAGGACAGAATAAAAAATGTAGAAGAAGGAAAACTCCATTGAAGTTAGAGAGCTAAATTATCTAATAAACCTAGAGATTAGACTTCTGATTTTAATGATTACTCAGGAACCTCTATCTTATAAACACTCTCCAAGTTTGTGGAAACTATTTAAAAAGCTTACAGGCGAGCGACACATTAGAAACGATGACCAACTGAATGTTCGTGACATAAATAATCCGATGTCATGCTTCCTAAATCCACAGGTTTAAGGAATAACTGTGTTCCTACTTTCCCCGAAACTGATGTGCAAAAATGTCTACAGTCAATCGACTCGTCCCAATATTTAGGTGGTGAAATCCCAAATGTTCATTTTAAGTGTGCTGATATTCTGTGTTATCTATGTACGGGCATCTTTAACAATTCCTTCTCAACTAACTTCATACCGAAAGTTTGCAGAAAGATAAGAATAATCCCAATACCTAAGAAAGTGTCTGACGAAAAGAATGGAGTAAATTCACCTTTTCTCAAACCAACAGAAAGATTGTTGATACTCCAACGTCAATCTATATGAAGAAAGCACATTGATCCGAATCAGTTTGCTTACAAATGCTGCTGTTCTTCTGCATAACATAGTTTTCAGCTTGGAAAAGAGTGAGAAGTATGTTCGTTGCCCTTTTCTGGACTATACTTCTGCCTTTGGCTCTACTTAAAAATTTGATCAGCATCAAAATTAACAGCTGGACAATAATTTTTCTGTATATCTATCCATTTGAAAGAGAACAGTGTTTAGGGGAAAATTTTCAAAGTCTCCAATGAAATAAAAGGGTTTGTTACAAGGGAGCTGTTCGTTGCTATCTCATTTCTTCTTTCTTTTTGCATGATCAGCCATCATCCAAAGAAAACATTTTTAAATATGCAAACGATCTCACTGTATTTGTGCTTATTTCTTCCTTTATACAAACCCTGTTGAAATGAATGAGTTCTCGTCTCTTATTGAACGATGGCCTGTTGGTAATGATCTCACACTTAACTGTTCTGAATTACAAAGTGTTAACTCTAGCCTTAGAGAAAAACAGCAATGACATACCCTGTTGGAATCCCATAAAGCTTGTACTATCGAAGGTCATTTAATAATCACAGTGTCAAAAAACTCTATAGCAGCTCATATACAATTGAGTTTGTTCATGTCTAATTTGGTTAAGCCTTTTGTTAACTTATTTAACGAACAGTGTCATTCGTACAATAACAATCTATCTATACTATTGTACATTTATTATGTACGCTTGAGCATTGCTTACTGCCTACGCATGTATTCACTCTGCTAGCCTTACTATTAATCGCTTAATTGGTTCGATAATTCATTCATTTCCACTTGTATGAATATGTGCATTATAATCCTGTTCACTGTACTCGCTTACTCGATCAATCGATCTCTCGCTTGCCCATTCGACTCGCGCGCTGACTCGCTTGCTTTATGGCACTGCTCTTTCATGTTTGTTTAACGTGTAATTTTGGATATATGTGTGTGGGCCAATAATAAAAGCTATCAACGCTGCGTATTCGTCTTCTGATTTATGCACCGTTGGGGCGTTATCAAGTAACGGTTACTAGGACGAACAATATACGAAATGTAAGGATAATATCGAATATCGACCACCACAACTCCTCCTGTTGCTCTTCTAAGGCTACGGCATTCGAAAAATGTGATTCAAGCAGCGCGTCTCTGTGTCAAGCATAAGGCAGCTTTGCTAGAACAAGCTAATGATAAAAGGTCTCTGTCGACTATGTTATGAAAACAGACTGCGACGTCTCAACCTATTTACCTCGGGCTACGGGTTGATCTAATAGTGACTTATAATATACTGAACAAAGATCTTGGTTATAATAGGCCCCATATTTTATTTTCATCTAGAAATGATAATTTCAGAGGATGTTTTAAGAAAGTTCAAAAATCGACTTCAAATCGAGGTAAGGTGGTGGTTGGAGGTGGTCAACAGGAAACCCTGGACCCGGGTTTCGTGCTACTTGGCACTCGTCAGCAAGGTGTACCTGTAATCCTGAGGGAACTGATGCTCCCTGGCGGATTTGATCACACGTCACCCAGCTTCACAGTCAGAGACGTTACCACTGAGCTATTCGGGCCGCGACCAACCTCCTGTAGGACTGAGATGTAATCACAATTGATTGATCACTGGGTGGTGATCAATCTCATGCGCGTCAGGTCCTTCAAATCGTCTATATCTGGTGTTCCGTTTCTCGCACCGAGTAGTGATTTACTGGAATTCCCTACCAGAACACGTAATATCATCCAGTTACATCAACGTATTCAAAGTGATGAGGACACAACGGATATTCTAGTTGTGCAACTAGCAACCAGTATTATCTTCTAAAATCGTTCGTTCCCAGTCGAATAGAAACCTGAAGTCAGACGAGGAGAGACAGGAAAGATATATTTGATTCGTTACCAATATATCGAGAGACTTCGTTCTTAACTGGCTATTGTGACGTAGGAGCTGTGTCCCACGCCGTGTTACAACGTGATTTGGTGCGGATGCATTACCGAAAGACTTCAGCTAAACAAGTCCACTTAAACAACATGGTCAGCATCCAATGTCGAACACTTAATGAGCTATTGATTTTAAGGAATTATTTACAGCTACAGTGATATTGGGTATACACAGTGCTACATAATGCAAAGACTAATATAACTCAACTGACCTTTAATCCTTACTACTGAAGACTGAAGTGATAAGTGATCCACTGCAACTACATACAGAAGCCCGTTTAGCGAAAGCGCCCTCTTTTCCGTCTAAATTCCCTTAAACCATCTGAACTGTTGTGCCTCACCTTAGTTAGTGGAATGCACGATAATTTGTTTAAATGTTCTCCGATGAACTACTCAGTAGAGTCATAGAAACTGCTAATATTTGAAAAAGACATGGCTGTGCCTTTTTCGAATACAACATTAAGAGTTCCGCATGGTTTTCCAAACTTACTGGAAGGTTTCGCGAGGGAAGTTTTAAGACACCAACCGAAAGATATTTATGGTTTTGGTGCCAAATACTTTGAAGAGTTACTTCTAAAAAGAGAAGGTATTTTTGTTGACATTCCATCAAACTTATATTAAGAAACTGGGACTGAAGATTTGGCTCAGCTTGGCGCAAAACTAAATGATCGGTATTATAACAACAAAGCGTATTGTGTAAGATGTGTTCTTGATTTTTTTGAGTTAAAATTTCAATAAAATTTCGGGATGTCTGAGGAAATAATTTATATTTATCATAGTTTTCAAGGACCCCTGTCCAACAGTAAGAGTAACGCTTCCGGATTTTGTTGTACGGAAGCAGACCGCTATATGCTTGTCAGGTCTGTACAAAACGTTTCACTAAAATAAGTGGAATTATTATTAGTATTCTTTGTGATTGCTACCTATATGTAGCTTTAGACTTTAGTTTCTAAAATAATTGTATACCAAACTGTGTCTCAAATATGGTGGTGGCAGCACTTAAGTTTCTTAAGAATTCTAACAGAAATTTTGTTTTTCAGATCAGAATGGAGTTAGGGTGGACTAACTTAGTTTTCGAGAAAGATGAATTTACAAAAAGGCGTTGGTTTTTACCTCAACTTTTATTCAAAATCACTCACATAACCGTTCTAATTAATGCCATGAGCCATTGATTATACTAACTAGATACTGGAAAATAGACTGTTATTTCTTTATAAGATAGATTCGCTCGCTGAACGTTATTTGGCTCTGTTAAAACCATTTTTTCTCAAAAGTTCTCTAATCTAAGTTATAAAAACTAACCTAGGTAGCCTATGTCGTATGATGGAGATCAGATTTGGCTTTGAATGTGACAATAGAAAGTCCTAATCCTAAATACTGTAGCAGAGAATTCTAGTGGTACATGACTGTGGGTAGTAAACGTTCATGTATAAACGATCTCTTCTTGAGTTTCGATTATAAGTACGTGTATACTGAATATAAAATCTGAGATGCACTTCCCTCAAGGCATTTTCTTTTTGCAGAACCAAGCTGTGCTGATACCAGAATTTTCCAGGTGCACTACTCTGATACGGAAGTGGGCTACTCTGGCAGCGCTTTTAGCTAGTAACGTTTGTAATACTAGCAAGGTCAGCACTAATGTCCAATGTCAAAAAAGTTATTCTGAGCATTTGTAAGATGATTTCAATTATTATCAGTAGTCGCCCTGAAGTTCTGAAAGCATAGTTAATAACTTGACTTCCTTCTGTATATGTTTATCGAGATGAGTAGTCAATTGTTGTTCATCATATATTGTAAATCTCCTGATATGTTTAAGTGATTAGCAAAACTATTTTGGAACTATATAAAAAAGTAAACAGAAAAATTAGCGTCATTCCCTACTCGTTTGAGAATAAATTCAAAGAGATCTTTCAGAGACATTTAAGATTTGGTATGTTAACCGCGTGTGAACTACATTAAGCGCTGGTCGCACTAAAGTTCCACTTGAAGTTGGATTTGTATTATTTAATAGCTTTCTAAAATGAATAGTTCAACAAGATCATAGCACTCAGTACCGATCTGGTTTGTCTAAATAGACTTCATTATAAATTTGCGTGCCAAGACGGTTAAGCATGTATATGTGTTTTAACCTGCTCTACATCTGACCGACTGTTTCATCTTTCCATAACAAGTTCACATCATTTGCATAAATTAACTTATAGCCCAAGCGTTTTAGACTTATAAAACTGCTTGTTCATTTCTAGTCTTATGACCTCTTTATAGCTCATCCTTGGATTTTTGATTTATCTTATGTCGGACAATTAAAAGTCACCATAGAAAGGTACACGTAGGAAAGTTTTTCACTTAAAAACTGAGTTAAGAGAGGACGAAAACTAATAACGAGTTTAATAATGTGGATTTTTACGTCTTATGTTAAATCAATAAAAGAACACGAAGAATAAAGTAATACGGTCTAATCATGTATTTGGCCTATAATATTAGGTGGTTCATGAATATAATAATAATAATAATTTTAGTTTATGAGACTTTGAAAACCCAGTTTTGTTTAGGATTAGTGAGCTGTTGAAGAGTATAAACCGTGAACAGTTGCACGATATTCGCTTCCACAGTAAAATATACAGATTGACCCCGACATTTATTTAACTTATGGTAGGACTGAAGTTGTTACAGGCTTACAACAATGTAGATAGTTTCATAGTCTTGAATTTAGAATCAGCAAATTTTACTAGTTATTAGTAACATAAGAAAGAAGACTCATGTTTGGATACCTAACAGTAATACACTATTTCCTTCAATTTATATGGTTACTAACACAACAATATGTTTGTAAACTTTACTCATGTTTAACTCCACATAACATTAGGTATAAACCCGTTCGTGCTACCATTGACTTGGATTTTGAATTTATGGTTACTACTGGTTTTGGAATGCGCTTTAAATTAAATATCATTAAACATTATTGGTTAGATGAATAGGATTGCAAATTTTATGATGCTTTTTATCCGCCGTGTTCACAGGGCGCTTAACTGACTTGCTACTAGGAAACTGTGAGTCAGATGACGAGAGTAGGCACACAAATTATTAACTTGATCCCCGTAACAAACTAAAATGACACATGTATACATTACCTTTCATATGGATCATTTGCAGTCATATTTGTATACCTTGAACTGACTAGTATTTAACATCATTTAGTCAATAACTTAACTTTGTGAACACATAATTACATTATCATACAATTATTCTTCTATATCCAACAAATATAACTAATTGATTAAGTCACATAATTACTCATTAAGATCTGGTTGCATATCTCATCCTCACTCTAATCGATTGAGTCATTCCTCACCAAGTCCCTATCAGATGATTGAAGGATTTACTCTTTTGTCTATAACACTGAAAGCTTTTCTATATAGATCATTGGTCAGTTATCATCTAAGTAGTGTTTGTGAATAGTCAAAAGGCTGTATGTTTATTCATAGTAGGACTGATTCTATTGCGTATTTATGAATAAGTATATTTTTACTTCTTAAATTGTATATTTGAGTTCACAAAGAAGATATATGAAACATAATTGCGTGATTTTCAACTCGGCATCTGTAATTCTCAATTTCGTTTCTACAGACTTCTGCCAAATCAACTTACTTACTTAGTTACGCCTGTTACCCCTCGTCGAGGAGCATAGGCCGCTCACCAGCATTCTCCATCCAAATCTATCCTGAGCCTTTCTTTCCAGTTCTTTCCAGTTGTTATTCATCCTTTTCATATCTGCTTCTATTCCCCGACGTAATGTGTTCTTTGGCTTTCCTCTTTTCCGCTTCTCTTTCGGATTCCAAGTTGGGGATTGCCTTGTAATGCACATTGGTGATTTCCTTAATGTATGTTCTATCCACTTCCAACGTCTGCTAAATCAAGTGACGAGAAAAATAAACAGACATAATAACTTATCTGTATTGATTTGTTAAATAAATGACTGTGTATTTTATACTTCTACATAGTTCAAGCAGAATGACTCTTATTTTATAATTTCTCAAATGTTTTTTCCGTTATACAAAATGAATAAAAGACTGGTACGTGCAACATTAACAATGCTGAACATCAAGAGGCCGCTGTACGTATTCAAGCAGAATATCGTAGACATTTAGCCAGCCAAGAAACTGAACACCTACGTGAGGAAAATGCGGCAACTCGAATTCAAGCAAATTATCGTGGATACAGAGATAGAAAACTAGTTAACATAATGTAAGTTTTGATAGGTATACATTTATGTGGACTTGTTCGGTAGAGAACTTTTATTTACCATAAAAAAAACTGTTGCAAATTGTAGTCAGTGTTTATGTAAGTGGATAGTCTGTAAAATTATCGCAAAGAATAAATGTAATGAATCTAAACAGACAGCTAATATTGAAAATATATTAAAAATTTCTTAAAATCAATGGTTGAAACCTAAACATCATATTTTATTTTAACTTTGTTAAGCTACTGAAATATGATTGAGTAGGTCGTTTCTTTAAAACTCATAATTCTCTCGTATATTTAGAAGAGAAAATGTTCCTAATGAAAAGATAACGTAAATTGATAGTTGTAGTATGTTATTGAACTAAGTGGTTTAGTTAACATTTCGTGTCTCATGAAATTAATTTTCACCAAAAACTGTTATCAATATGAAAACGATTGAAACAAGGAAACGCCAAATAGATGTTCTGACTAATATCAAAGATCCTCATGTCTCCTGGCGATTATTTTCTTCAATGGGTACTGCTTCTTTTACAACTATGTTACATTAAAAAATAGTGATCTTGATTAAAAATTCATAAGTTTTGCTTAGAAACTACGTATTACAGACTGGACGTTACCTAAAGATCTTATGCACAAAATATGAGAATACATCAACTCCAACTGTAGCTCTTCTAGGGTTACTGTCGGTCTCAAGTCAGGGTAAACCTCCATCCCATAGAAAACGATAGCCAGAATAAACAAATTAAACCATTGGGACTCTTTTTTCAAAGTTTAACGATCTTCATTCAGAAGAATGATGACACCTCATAGTGGAAGCCAAGATTCTTCAAAAGTTACAAGGCTGATGTTTCTTCTAACAACCAGAGCAACAATTAATCTAGATACATGGAATGTTCGGGTAGTGTGGAGGATAGTGGGCACATATCAAACAGCTACGGAAATAAGAAGATACAACATGGTGGTGCTTGGAATCAGTGGAACCCATTAAACCCAAGCTGAACAGAAATGGATAGATTCGGGATGGGTGCTACTGAAGAAGAAAATGCTCCACACACTTAGGGATTTGCTCTAATGCTGTCCAGAAATGTACTTGCAGAATGGAAATCTCACGGATCCAGAATCACTAAAGCATCATTTTAAGGAAAGATGAAAAGAATCACAGTAAATGAAATCCAATGTTATGCACCTTTCAGTGATAACAGTGATGACGATAAAGGTCAGTTCTACTAGAGGCTGCAATCAGTCATAACGAAGTGCCCATAAAAAGATCTTACCATCCTGATGGGAGACCTTAACGCCAAAGTCGGATTGGACAACATAGGGAATGAAGATATAATGGGACGGCATGCACTGACTGGGAGAGAGAAATGAAAATGGGAAGATCTTCACAAATTTATGTGCATTCAACAAATTGGTTATAGGCGACACAATGTTCTAATATAAATGCATACACAAAGCTAATGAAAAGAAGTGGAAAAGATTTTCCAGGATAGAGTGGTGGTTGTTGACCTATGCTCTTTCACGAGAGGTAGCACGTGTAATTAAGTATGAGAATATATCAGTGTCGTGGATTAAACAACTTTACAGTTCTTCCTAATTCTTAATAATTGTGTGACTACTATCAGTTAGTGATATTAAAAACCAACTAAATTTTGTTTTTAGGAGGGAAAACGAACGTAGTATGGATCATTCTGGAGAACAACCAAACAAAGAAGATGAAGTAAGTTATTACGTAACATATGTAAACGTTTTATAGTTTTCCAAGTTGACTTTATAAAATCTTAACATTTTCTGTTACGTAATGCTTACATGAAAATATAGGACAGAAATATAGACCATAGTAAAAGCCACTGAAATACATTTCCTATAATTAGAAATTGCATCTCTTCTAAGACAGACAACATGGATTCTGAAGTAACATACATAAGAAATCTAACCACTCTTATAAGATTATAATAACATTATTAAAAACAAAAGGTTCATGAAATTTGTCCAATCTATATTTGAATCCCAAATTGAATTCAACCATTTGACTCAGTGGTCCAAAGTTAACACTCTCTCTCAGTGTTGGGTAAATGTTCTTGATTTTGTCTATGATGTGTTTTTGAGTACTAACGACTGAGATGATCTATATTAGAGTAAAACCGCCGTCCAATACATTCTATTTTTCAATGATTGCTAATTACAGTTATTCTGTAATGCTTATTAGTATGTTATTATTTTTTTGTAAAGTTCTATGACCTTATTGATAAGTTTTGTCGATTGAACGCTATATTCACTTCCTAAGCTATTCTGATAACCCACAAGCTAGAACTACTCAGCGACTTGAACACCAGAGAGAAGACACAAGTATGAGAGAAACACTTTACTGCAAGGTTCAATCTTGTACAGAAAATCATAGGTATTTATAGATGTTAGCGTATGTTAAATCAACATCATATTTCAGACAATCCATTAACGACATATTATGCTACCGACCAATAGTAGCACGCCACGTTTGAACTCTAGAATGTTCCATCATACCCTGATTGGCTAGGGCTCTTCGGCTTCTTTTTAGGCCTCTGGAGGTTCTGTTAAAGTACTAAGGAAGCCGACTCAACACTTATCAACCCAATAATTTAAATATACTTTTAAAGAAATCAGAAATCAGCGTGAATCTTAGGTGTTTTTCTATGAAAAAATATATCCTATAATTACCAGATAAAAACAATAATTGGATGATCTTTTGTTTTTTTTTACATATTATATCTCATATTACTTTTTGGTTAGCGTTTTTTGTAGCGAGTTAGTTTTCTAAGGGATGAGGTCGCTAACCCTATGCCCAACCCTCCTCCTTTATCCAGGCTTGGGACCGGTAATAACCCCTGGAGGGACTACAGGAGGAGTTAACAAAGCCAGTAGTAACTTAATAAATTACCTTCTAACAAATGATAAGTATATTTTTATAATGACTAAAAATGATAAAATTACTTTTCTTTTGTTTGTTTTTTTAAACTATAATAAACCTTCAAAATCATAAAGTTAGAATGAATTTAATCATTATTGAACAAAATTGAATTACATTTTTCACATTATCCATCTCATGTACACTTATCATTCCTCTTTTGATTGTCTATGAATAGGTTGATAAGTAATTGGGTATTATAATACATACATATTTAAATCTATATAATAAGTAGTATATTTTAATTAAACAAATAATTCATTTAAAAAAGCTGATCTGTGATTGGTTATTAGAAATTTGTTTTTTTTTCTACTTTATTTCTAACCAATCAAAATAAAGCGTTTATCAAATAATTTACAATTCATTTTGGAATTTAAAAATTTTAGTCATCATAATTATTCATATTCCCCCAAATTTGTACGTATGTTCAGTTTTTTTCCTAATGTTTAAACTATACTCATTTTTTTGTTAAGTAAATACATATATGAAGGTTTTGTGTAGAGATTGTAAGTAATTTTTTATATATAGTTGAAATCATGAGTCAATTGAAGCTAGACCACCGTGGAAAATCTGGAAGCACTGGACGACCGTTTCGTACTATTATAGGACTCCTCAGCAGTGCTCATCCACGATCCCATCTCGCAAGATTTGAACCCAAGACCTACTAGTCTCCCGCCTGAGCACTTGATTGATAGACCACTGAGCCGGCTGGCATTCAACGGTGTTAATGTTTAACTACAACTAATCCACGAAGGTGAGCAACCGTTTCACCAATGACTCAGTGATTTGATATCTCCCAACAGACCTGGTTGAACTCCACTGGTTAATATATATATATATATATATATATATATATATATATATATATATTGTTTCAATGTATCATTTATCAGGTGAAATAAATGCTGTAGATTAGTTCTTCCTTCAGATTATCATTTGTGGTATAAAGAAATGGATTTTCGTAGTATTCTATGAAGTATTTCTATGGTGGTCTAACTTCAATTGACTCATGATTTCAACTATATTCAATGAAATATTTATTATTTGACAATTTATTTTCATCATAAAATCACAGTTTATTTGAGAAGATAAAGAACACTAAAAGTTCTTTGTAGCACGCACCTATAAGGACATCAACGATGTTCAGATATAGGATGTTTAGATTTTGTAGTAAGCATAAACTCTGAAGATCAAGGAATCCACTTACTTACTTACTTACTTACGCCTGTTACCCCTCGTGTAGGAGCATAGGCCGAACATCAGCATTCTCCATCCAACCCTGTCCCAGCCAATCCTTTGCAGTTCTTTCCAGTTAACATTCATCCTTTTCATATCTGCTTCTATTTCTTGGCTTAATGTTTTCGTAGGCCTTCCTCTTTTCCGTTTCCCTTCCGGATTCCAAATTAAGGCTTATCTCGTGACGCAGTTTAGTGATTTCTTTAATATATGTTCGATCCACTAATGACCTTGATTTTTAGTTGTACCGTGTTTAGTGAGTTTTAATAACAGTAAATGATATAAACTCATGATAAAAATAATTTTTAATTCTTCTACTTTTTAAATGTTATTCTAAACCCTTTCGATCATGAATTGTTCTAGTTAGTAACTAGCGAACAGATTATTGCTAATGATGTGTCATATTTGTAGATGATTAGTTCAGTTCGAAGATAGTTCACTTTAATGACTAACTTTAGCCAGAAATCCATTAGAAACCAGCTATTTTGCCACAGTACAAAATTTCTCAATAGTTCCAATGAAAGAATGCTATAAACGGTGGAATTCATTAATATTTTTAACATGAGACTGACATATTAATAGTAGCAAAATGTTACTTTCTAATTATAAATCTAATGATTGATCGTATACACTTGGCACAACTATAAATATGTATAGTTCTTTGTTTAAATTTTTTTAATCCCTTCCTACATCAGTACTTTAATACTATTAGTATAATTCTAAATGACGAATTGTTTCGAAGTTGACATTCACACTGTCTTATATGCCTATCAATAATAAAATATGTAGATAGGCATATATTTAGATTGTAATATTTTTCAGTTTACATATAGTAGTTTATACGTAACAATATAGTTGAAACTCTTGTTTCGTTTATATTCTCATCAGATAAGGTAGCCTTGTCAAATTGTTTAAATCTACCTAGTTGTTAGATCGGCTTACAATAAACCCTATCAGAGCTTCCAGAGAGGCTCATAAAGAGACCAACCAATCAGCGATTAGTTAGAAGCTATGCTACTAAAATGCTACTAAAATAACAAGGTCCTGATTGGCTGTTAACATACTGTTACTATGGGATCTCAAGGTCTTTTAGCTACTATAAAACCCCTGTTTTTCTGTACATAATTGAACCTTGTAGTAAAGTGCTTCTCTGATACTCGTGTCTTCTCTCTGGCCTTCCAAGTCGCTGAGTAGTGCTAGCCTGGGGTTATCCGAATAGCTAGGATCCGAATAAAGCGTTCAACATACGAGTCATAACACTAGTATTAGAAAGCTATCAAAATATACTTAAATAGTTTGATAACTGACCTAAAATTCTTTTCAAAACATTTTGAAATATTTACGATAAGTAAGAGGAATTACGAATACTACTTTGTAAATTCTTTGTTAACCCCTTTTCTTTACCTTACTGTATGCCTTAACCTTATGAATTTGACTTAGAATACAAAAAAGGTAATAATAGTATGAGCTTATTGGTATCTAGTTTAATATTATTACTATTGGTAGATTATTTACTTCTTATCTTCACTTATCTTATTGAATACCTGTTTTACTTATCCAATGATATAAAAATGTAACTAGAAGACACTGTAAAATTGTGTGCTGAATTGTCTACAAAGTTTTCTCTGTCCAATAGGTAGATAAAAAGATTACAAGTTTCTTTTGAACATAATTGCCGGGGTAATTATTTTCAATCCCTATAGCTTCCGCCATATGTAAAAAATGAAGTCGAACGATAATGGATTACCTTGAAAATATATGATTAATAGTTCAGAATAATCAAGTTTCATTTACTACATGCCCACTGTCGATCAAGCGTGATCAACTAGACTGTTCCCAAACTACAAAAGGAAATTATCTCTAGTTAGCTATGTTGTCTGGTATTACCCTCTAATATAGTTTTTTTTCAGTGAGAAAGTTGGTTTAGTAAATGCATACTGAAGTGGTGAAAAAAGGTTACCTAATCCCTAATTAACCAACCAACATTGGTTGACTAGAATATGACAATCAACGACTAACTAGGTAAAAGAAAAAACAACCTAGATGTAGTTCTGGGTAGTTTATTACATACAATATCGCTGAGAGAATCTTTGTTGAAATGAAGCTTCATGAATAGATGATTCTTACCGGTAGTCCACGTTTCTCTGACTTCCTGATTACTATATACATAGAGTTTTACAAAAGCTCTTATAAATAACCTACTTTAATCACCCTACTATATATCTAATCTACTTTCTTTTGTGTAGTATCATCTAACCAAACTTTTCCAGCTCTTCTAATAAAGTATCTAACCAGATTATTATTATTATTATTATTATTATTATTATTATTATTATTTAAACACATATATATTGGTACAAAAGCGCACCAGGTACATATGCGCCACACAAAATAATTTGTGTGTGGACTGTGATACTGCCCGGGTGCCCAAACCGAAGCAGGTGGTTTTCTTAGGGGGCCACACCCCGAGCCGTTGACCAAAAGGTCTAATCCACAAGGCAGTGGAGCATCGTGAGGAGATGCAGTCCCATGGTAGCCGT